GTTGCCGTTTTCGTGATATAGGAGCGTTATAAGGTGATGCCCATTGTGCCTCACTTGCAGAAACAATTTTAAAACATTTGAAATTATTTTTTTTTTTTATAAATAACCTAATTTAGGTATACAACAAATATTACTTTATACTTAAAGTACAAATTATTTTAAGGATACTAAAAAATAACAATAAAATTTAGGCTCAAGGGAACCCGTCGACGTAAGCTTTCATTGCGACTTAACGAACAAAATAATTTTATTTGGGTTCGTTCTTTCGCCGGGCCACATGTGCAACATATGATCACTACACGCAACTCGCAGTAGTAGCGTTTAAAGCTACAGCTGCAAGCTGCGTAGCAGTGAAAATATAAGTCGCTCTTTAATATCACGTTTGTGTCAATCACGTTTTAGATTATATTTTTATTTATTGTTATTGGTATTTATTAATTGTTGAAGAACATTTTTTTTGCAGATGCTTTTTACTGATTTTACTTCTTCGCGCGTTTTTGCTAGCACCCGCTTTAGAAAATAATCTCTCGCATTTCGTTTCACAATAACATTAAATAATCCACAATAACAACAAATAGAAATGCGTGTTTGGCAAACCTAGACGAAGTATTACTCGGTTAATTTTGATATTATGTATCATGTATGTATTATGCATCACAGAACATCCCCCCATCTTATTATAATAATAATTTAAACCGCAATAGTTCAAAAGTGGAAAGTTATATGGGGATATGGTTCGCTGTGTTGTATAGCTCAATGCTTTCAAAATCGCGTTTGGGACCTGATTTGGGCTTATTGCGAAGAAAAATACCATAAAAAAGTATTTACAAAATCTCTGAATTCATTGAATGATGGGGTGAATGCGTTTGGGCGTGTTTGGGAATCTTGTAGACAAACAACTAAGCATTTTGCGTTTAGTAGTTGGAAAGTTTGCAGTAGAACGTATGCAAACTATGGGAGAATGCTTGTTGTCGTGCGGATACGAATATGCCCTCAGCATCTTAAAAATGATGATTATGAGAGGAATTTGCCATTCAAACTTTTGGACCAAAAGCAAACGCTATACTTTATTGCACATCTGGCAACTATGCTAGCGTACAAAATAAATAAATTTTTGTTAGTTTTCATTTTCAAGTTTAAAACCTGCTGCAAAGTATTTTGTAATTATAAACAAGATTTATTAAAAAATAATCAAATGTGGCAAAGACCCGGTTGCACCGTTTAACTAAACAGTGATTACAAATTTAATTGTCTTTTAGTTTGAAAAATGTGTTGTACCGTCGCTTAACCACTGTTTTGTGTATTCTAAACAACGATTATATTAACCGGCACTTTTTGGCTGATTAGGGCCCGATTAGGGACCGTTTAGTATATTTTCTTGATTTTTTTTATTACGGGTGACAGTGGCTATGGTCTTAGATCCTATTTCAGCTTCCTATCCGAACAGGAAACGTGATCGAAAGATGTTTTGGAGTTTGGAAAAGAAGGTTTCCCGTTTTGGCGTATGGTTTGAAAGTAAAACTGGAGACCGCAATGCACATTATTTCGGCAACTGAAGTTCTATATAATATGGCAAAAAATATGGGTGAAGAAGATCCTCTTTTGCTTGCAGATATTAATGAGAGCTAAATTATTTAATTGTTGTTAGGGAAGCAGGCACTGTACCAGAACCACACAGCCAAGCTTTAGTTAACAACTTTAGAAGTCAACTTGTAAATTATTATTTTCCTAGACTTTAAACTACTAAGAAAATATACTTTGGAAGTAATTCGTATTTTTTAATACCTATTAGAGTGAGTTACACTATAAAGAAGTTTCTTACGTTGTTTTTGACCTTGTACGGAGTTTTAATTTTTAAGCTTTTTCAATAAAAATTAATATAAACTTCCAGTTTAATGTCAAAGGAGATTAAGTCTTTTCTTTTCTATTTCAATATGTAAATCTAATAATTGAAGCTTTCGCTTTCTTTCAAATTCAATCAATAACAATTCCTTCTTTTTCTGCAAATCTGCTAGATCTAGCCGTTTATCAAGCAGTTGGTCGTATTTTTCAGCTATTTCAGACCTTGTTAGAGCTTTGATTTGCATTGTTAGTCGACGTCTAGTACATGCTAGTACAGTAATCAGTAGCATAGAACACGGCTTATATATATTATATATTAGAGGTGCCATATCTTCATATAACTTCATATAACATGTCTTTGTTACATGCATTTTAAATGGGATCACCTGTTCACTTTACCAAAGTGGTAACCAGTGACGTCATGTGCGTACGAAAACCGAGTTTTCGACCGATTAATATCCTACCTTGCATTCGTTCTATCCACAGACTACAAACTATTATTGTATCATGCTCATCACTAGTGGAAACTAGGTTAAGAAACAAATCCTTTCAAAATATTCCGAAATTTTCTCTTGGTTACAATCATAGAGTCACAGATTACAGAGTATAGATTGGACAATTTTGCTTTCCCGCTAAAATGATTTTGCTAAATGCAACCACAGAGAGGCGTCGTCCAAAAATCCAGAAGATCAGCTGATTGTTTGCCTGCGTTTGTTTTGTACATATGTCCATAAGAGGTCTCTGAACATACAGTATTTTACCGTTAAGATTATTCGGTCAATTTTCAATCTTTCATTTTATTATTTATTATCAATCATTATTATCAATCATATTATCAATCAATCATTTTATTATTTATTATATTATTATTTATTATCAATGTTTTTAATTGCAATCATAAGCATTTTCAACTAGTTTAACTGTGATATTTATCTTTGTTTTACAATAATGGAGCATAACGTGGCTCGGAGAATGACTAAGTGTTGTGTTCGGAATTCTGTGATCTCTAGATAACTGTGAAGTTTATTTGAGTTTTACAACTGAATATAAGGCAGCCAGATACCAGCCGCTTCCAGTGTTGTGTTGTGTTCGTGAAAATCAAAATGGTCGACGATTTCGATTTCCTGAGAATCACTAAAAGCTTGACCCGAAATAATTTTGCATCATTTCACTCCAAGACATGGCCTGTACAGAAAAGATACAATAAAAGAACAGAAATGGCCGCAGTCCAAGGCTGGACGCTAAGACGGAAGGAGTTTTAGTGAGTAAACAGCTTGGCTGGAGCCCCCCAGAACCCAGCGCGCCAGAATACCAGCTCTGTAAGAGAGCATTTCCTAAACTTCATCGATAACCAAAAAACAAAAACAGAAACAACCATCCAACTGAATGTAAATAGCAGGTAATTGGATACTTATATCAACACTTCTGCATATTTGTTCAACATATTTATTATTTAATGTGAATAAAACTTATTTCAAGTTTTGTAAAAGCACTACACGGTCTAACTCATGTAATCTCAATATAAATTACATCTCTAGGTTTTTTAGTTTAATAAATACCTATTATAAAGATAAATTCATGTGCTTTATTTTCCCGATTTGCCCTAGTTTTCACACGAACACAATTTTAGCAGACGATTTGAATTCACTTTACGAACTCTGTGTGTTCCGTTGAAGTTTCAATAATATTTCGAGTATCTCATATTGCCCTTTAATTGTGATGTTAATTGAAGGCCTAGCATAAACATCACAATTAAGGAGCATGATGAAATGCTTGAAATGTTATTGAAATTGCAACGGAAATCACAGAGGTCATAAACTGAAATCAAATACCCCGCTAAATTTTGATGTGAACCCAATCGATAAAGAAGATTTCTTCTGCCACTAGTGGAAAATAGAGTTTAGTTTTGATTGCAGCCGGTGATTTAAGCGACAAATAGCATTCTGCAGGCTTATATGGCAGTTTCCAATATATAACCTCTGTGATCTGTGGTTAGTTACAATCACACCGATTGTAACTAACGATTGTCTTTATTTATGGGTCGGTGTTTTATCTCAAATATATATTTTGTAGTCCGTGCTGAAATCAACGGGCAAGATGGCAGCAAGTAATTTGGATGCAACTGCCACAAAAAGGAAAGTGGAATGTACTGTTACGCCAGAACTCTCAGCATTCTGGGAAAACAACCCCAAGGGATGGTTTGCTCAGGTAGAAGCTGTATTTCGCTTAGCAAACATCGAGCAGTCCCTAACAAAACTCGAATACATATCGTCAGTTCTTACCGACAAACAATCGCAGCCCATTATCGACATAATTACAGAGCCACCCGAGGTAGAACCATATGAAAAAGCAAAAGCCCAATTAATAAAAAAATTCAGCTATGACCCGAAAAATATACGCACTTTCGACAATGTAGAAATAGGCTCAAGACCAACAGATATGTTGCGACGAATGAAGGAATTGGCGCCAGAGCTGAACGAAAGCGCGATGCGTACAGTTTTTCTCGATAAACTTCCACGTCGAGTAAGAGAGTTTGCTCGTTGTCTAACGAAGTTAGACCTACACGAACTGGCGGAAACAGCAGACATCATTGAAAAGAGTCTCCGTCCATCTGCAGAAGAGGGATTAAAATATGATTGTCATTGGATGATAAAGCTAGCACTCAATAATTTGATAAATGAAGTAAAATCTTCGAGAGAGTGTTTCGAAGAGTATATATATGGACAAGGTTCAGAAGAGCAGAGCTCATCAGAATTTTCAGACGAACGAATCTGTTATTACCATTGGAAATTTGGCGATAATGCTTTCAAATGCCGAGGTCGGTGCGATTATAATGCATAGTCTCTTGAACCTCTCACGCTGAACAATTCATGCAAAATGAACATCTTTTGATAGACATAATTGTTAATGAACATAATTTTTGAAATTCTAAATCAGTTTATATAAATTACGATACTATTTTCATACAAAAAGTTCGTACATTTGTCATCATTTTGAATATTGTTGACCGTAATAAATAAATAATATCGGACTTTATATTTTGTTTTCCTCTTGTTCTAACACTATTTGCTTCACTAGTTCTTTTTGAGTAATAAGCCGCCTGTTAGAGCCCTCTAGAACTTACACTTGTAAAAAAATGGTGTGCGTCACGGGACTCTCGACAGAAGTGATAACTTCATATATTGAAACCATAAAATATTGAACTTGTTTAACGCATGTTGGCAATAATAATTTTATTTTATTATTTTAATATTCTTGTTAGTCTAGTAGTTTATAAATGGATCAAGAATAGCTAAAGTTTAATTTAATTTCCTTTTCAATGTAAAATATCTTTTATTTGCAGCATTTAACATTCTTTAACGAGATGTTGTACATATTGCTCTTCTTGGGTTTGTGTAAACTCTTCTTGAGTTTCTGTATTTTTTAGTCGTAATTTCTTATTTGCTTTGTATAATCTTTGACGTTCAGCACTAGTTCGTGGTTGATGAAAGCTACTTTGACTTGATCTATTACTTAATGCTCCTTTTTAAGCACGAAATCGTTTTTGGCGTTCAGCATTACTTAATACTTTTCGCATTGTAGCACGTTTTTGTGACTGCTCTTGTGTATGTTGTTCATGAAAGTCAGCCACAACCTATGTCTGAATAGGACTAAAAAATCAATTAATTTTGGTGATTGGAAGACGTTCTATCTGTTTAAAATAGTCGATAAAACGAGGAAGAGCTATAGAGCCATGATACACTTGACACACTATATGCAAACATAATGTAAGCCATCGTACGTATGTTAAAAAAAATTCTAACTGAACTAATCCAAGGCTAAAAAATTAAACTAAATTGAGAAGATTTAATCATAAAGGAATCAAAGGGTATATGAAGGGAAAAATCCATTTTGATGCGTTGTATATAATAAGCCCTAATAAATTCGTTTTACATATTTTGCAACTATAAGCTGAAGGAAGATTCGTATCGTCTTAACATCAAGAATGCGTTGCGGGATAGAAAATAAAAAGACGGAACCATGTTTTCTGAAATAACCGAGGTAAACTCAAATAATTTTTCAATTAAATTCAAAACATATTTATTGTATATTATTACAAGACAGTAATGATGATTATCATTTTATGTTAAATATGAAAGATCACAAAATAGATATCTAAATATTGATAATTTGTTGTTACAAAATCACAAATAATAGAACATATTATTGCATTAAAAGTTATTAATAATAGTTGTGACACTTTATTTGCACCTAATCTTGCGCGTTTTTCATAAATTGACCTGCCTTCTTTAGAAAATATCCGCTCAGCAACTGATTTAACAATTGTCTCCGATGAAAATCACTAAACAAGTAGGTAGTAATATTTTACCGAATCGTGCAATACAATGCAAATGAACATCATCTGGGCAGCATCTGGACTACATAGACATAGGGAATCGGTTCTGGCATTCTATCGATACGATTTAATTTTATTTAATCTTTTCTTGATACGAATTTGCATCCACAATCAATCAGGCGATTTAAAATAGGTCCAACAGTTTTTCAGAAACTTTACTGTAGTGGATCTTAGACACAATTTTGTTGCACAACATCGATTGTAAGTTTTTAAAACAATATTTAACAGTGCACGGCAATGTGCAATCTCATTTGCAATGATAAATACCAGGTCGTTTGAAGATGACTTTCAAAAGTTTGTAATACATTTTTCTGCAAATTGATGGACGATCCGCATTTTCTTGCACTTAAACTGCTTTAGTGTGTATAATTGTGTGTGTACTTTAATTGGAAATTTAAAAGAAGGCGAAACTCGAATAGTCATTTAGTACATGAGCACCCTTAACCTGGTGTTTGCAGTATCTGCAGCTTCTCCCTTGATAATTTGTTGATTCATTGTTATCTGCGTTATAAAATAAATTGCACCGAACACAATAATATCACACTCAATAATTGATAAATCAAAATCACTGTCAGTTTAATAACGCAATGCGTATTTGAAACGTTTATCAGATTTACAGATGCACCCGCACTAAGAGAAAAATGTCGAATTTAAAGTGCATATGTGCTCCCATAAAAAGTTACCACTTCAAAAAACTTCAAACAAAATTCTCATATCGCCCTCTAGACTAACTTAGGTGGTTGGCGCGATAGAGATAAATAGATTTTATTTACTTATTTCCCAGCTAGTATTAGCCGCTTGAAGTACATGAACTCCCAAGTCCCTTACTTTAAACCTGTAAATGTTGTCGAGTTTCTTGCAGATACTTTTCCAGACTCTACGACTTTTGTATAAAATGTGTTGTTTTTTACATTCGAATAAAAATGACTTTCGATAACGAAGCGAAAATCCGTTTTTCGAACTCATGACGAAGTGCTACCCCAACTTCAGCCTTTATCTATGGTTTATTACTCAAAAAGAACTAGTGAAGCAAATGGTGTTAGAACAAGATGAAAACAAAATATAAAGTCCGAAGTTATTTATTTATTACGGTCAACCATATTGAAAATTATATGTGGCATATGTACAAACTTTTTATACAAAAATAGTATCATATAACTTATCCAAAATGTTTTAGAATTTGTCTAGGTCTATCAAAAGATGTTCATTTTGTACGAATTGTCCATCTGGTTGCACGATTATTGACAATTTAAGTTTTATTGAATTGTTTTTAATGTCTATGCCAAGGCACAAATACAAAGTGCAGAAAGCATTAAAGAGAAGGTGGGCTATTGTGAGTCCCACATGGCGTTTAAGAGACTATGCATTATAATTGCACCGACCCTTGCATTTGAAAGCATTATCGCCAAATTTCCTATGGTAATAACAGATTCGTTCGTCTGAAGATTCTGATGAGCTCTGCTCTTCTGAACCTTGTCCATATATATACTCTTCGAAACACTCTCTCGAAGATCTTACTTCCGTTACCAAATTATTGAGTGCTCGGATTCCCGCGATAAGTAGATCAAATTCTCTGCGCTGCTCTCTTTGTTCGTTGAAATTCGTTTGAAACAGGTCTGCTACTTCCGCTAGTTCGTCTAGGCTTAACTTTGTTAAACAACTAGCAAACTCTTTTGCTCTACTTGGAAGTTTACTGACGAAAATTTTACGCATGGTGGTTTCGTTCAGTAGCGGCACGAGTTTCTTTATTTCTTCTAACATTTCTGTTGGTTCTCTGTCGCCCAACGTTACATGGTCCAGAATGCGAATGTATTGAGAGTTATAGCTGTTCTCGAATTCTTTGATTAGCCGATCTTTTGCTTTTTCATATGGTTCTATCGCAGGTGGCTCTGTAATTATGTCGAGAATGGGGAACGTTTGATTGCTGGTAAGAATTGACGTTACGTAATCGAGTTTTGTTAGGGATTGCTCGATGTTTGCTAAACGAAATTCAGCTTCTATCGCCTCAAACCATCCCTTGGGGTTGTCTTCCCAGAATGCTGTGAGTTTTGGTGTAACCGTGCATACCACTTCTGTGACAGTTGCCTCCAAATTACTTGCTTCCATCTTGCCCGTTGGTTTCGACAGTCTACAAACTATATATTTGAGATGAAACACTGAATTTGTTTCCTTTCCTATCCTAGTTCTCACCACTTTCTCTCAAAAGTTTGACTACAGGCAGTGATGCCAGATCGGTAAAATTAAAATTCCCAAATGGTCACTTAAAAAATACCTACTTCTCTCTTAATTAATAAAAAATGATAAGTGAAACAACTCATGGAATGGAATGGAACTCATAATTTTGCTTCAATTTCTATTCTTTTTATGTATTTTTTTCAATTTCAAGCCTTAAGTTATTTGACAAAGTTTATATGTAGATGAACACACAGTTCAGTTGCTAAACACACTCACTACAAGTATATCGATTTTTGCATCCCAGTAAAGATTATTTCCGGAAAATTAAAAAGACCTTAAAGGAGATTCTTAATTAATTGAGATTTCTTAAAGCCAATTGTGTTTGCTCTCTACTGTTATCCGCATGTACTCCGATATATTAATAATTTTTTCCCTGAATGTTTTTTCTTCACATAATCGAAAATTTGTAAAATTAAAAAAATAACAAATCCCTTTTCCCTTTTACCTGAGAAAAATCCCTAGAACTAAGGAAAAATTCCAAATACAACATTTGGATTAAAAAACCTGACCTACCCCAACCACGCCGGATGCTTCACGTCACACTAATGGTGGGAATTATCACATAAATATTAAACATTATGTATCATGTATGTATTATGCATAATCTTTATGCTGTAGCATTGTCAGGTATATGATTTACTCAACAGGAAATGTATGTATATTATACATATTTGCCGTTTGACACATTTTTTGATGAGGTGGTTAAGCACGACGGACTGTGACAAGACGACAAGATAAAATTTTGATCTAAATGTCTTCTATATATAAATTGACGAGTTTGTTTTACTGAAAAGTCTCTTAATCAATAGTCATTAAAGGTGGCTCGTTTTAAAATGAATGCTCTATACGAAAGGAAAGTTGGGGAAACTCGCCCGAGTTTGTTGCGTCACAATCACCTGTCAGACTTCCCCCAGATTTCTTTGTTTTCTTGAAGGTTGCCCACTATTGACGAAAATAACCTGAAACAATTTTGCTTTAAAATCAGCTGTGCTCAAAGTTAAGATTGGTTGGTGCTGATAAGGAATTTTTATTTGTTGATAGTTTGAGGATCTTTGAAACCAGCAGCTCTGATTAAAAATGTTTAACGGTATGTAATAGCAATGTAGATAAATCGCGTTATCTTGATCTATTGTATAAGAATCGAATAGCATGCAATATTTCTGGCTAGCTTAAACATGTATAATTAATATGGCCTTAAACTATGGAATGAACCTTATTTTAGGATGTTGTGGATGTTGTAGCGCATTTAGGCCGCGTTATAAGCGTTTGGTGGATAGTATTTTCCCGGTCTATCCTCAAGATGGTCTCGTTAAGAGCAATATGGAAAAACTTACGTTTTACTCACTTAGTTCACCTGAAAAACTGGATAGGATTGGGGAGTATTTGTACCAAAGGGCTGCAAGAGAAATATATAGAAAAAAATACGGGTAACATGCGAACACATTTGAAACAATAGCGCATATATTAACTAAACGACAATCGTTTCAGATTTGTAATAATTGCTATGGAAGCCATGGATCAACTATTACTAGCGTGTCATGCACCTACACTGAATCTTTTTGTTGAAAGTTTTCTCAAAATGGTTCAAAAGCTACTCGAATCAACAGAACCAGACCTGCAAATACTAGCCACTCAATCTGTAAGCGTGTAAAATGCTTTCAGTATTGAATTTATAATACTTATATTGTTTTTCTTTTAGTTTGTAAAATTTGCGAATATAGAAGAGGACACCCCTTCTTATCACAGACGATATGACTTTTTCGTAAGCAAATTTTCTGCCATGTGCCATAGTGGAGACACCAAGGATGTGAGAGATAAAATAAGAACTGCTGGAATAAAGGGATTGCAAGCAGTAGTGCGGAAAACAGTTTCAGATGACTTAGTGGAAAATATTTGGGAACCTGTCCACATGGATAAGATTGTTCCTAGCTTGCTATTTAATATGCAGGTGTGTATGCAGTGCTTTTAACATTGAAAAGTATGTTTTACTTTAAAACTATTTTAGGATTCAAGCTTCCATAAAGAACCACCACATGGAGATACAATTCCAGAGGACAGTGTTGATCCCCCAATGCTTGCTGAAACTTGCATGAGGGAGCTAGTAGGCAGGGCTTCCTTTGGCCATATTAGAGCAGTATTAAAGCCCGTTTTAAGGTAATTGATGTCATGTTTTATTAACTATTATTATCTATATATAAATAAGAGATTTTATGCAAGGGTTTTTTTATCGCTTGGTTAGAGAGGGTTTATTTTGAAATTTATTGTTTTGAAACCCGCGCAAAACAGATCCTTCGAAATTCCTTATTGAAGAGTGTTTTGCCAGTTAAGATATAGGAATGAGAAACCTAAACATGTACAGGCTAATTTTATCCGTGTCTTTAGCGCAGATAAGGGAGACAACAAAGGATCGAGAATAAATTTCGAACTAAAAATATATTAACTTAATTTCAGAAATATGTTTTGCATATAATATAGGATGGTTTTGCTGTTGTGTTGATATTAAACAGTCGCAGTCAGAGAAAATCTAGGATCGTCCATAAATTTCACTGAAAAAAACTTACACCCTTTCATTGATTGTATTCGATATTCAATTCGAGCAATGTTTTATTTTATCAATATGTATCGTTGTGTTTTCCAGACATTTCGACCTCCACAAGTCGTGGGTTCCAAATGAGTTTGCCATTCACACATTCAGGATTATAATGTTTTCAATTCAGGTATGTGAAATATGGATTTACATTGACGATATTTAGGCGGTGTAATTGAACCATTATATGCTTATAGAACACTCTTTATGTATAAGGTGGTTCAATATTAGAGTTATTCCTCGGGCATAGTTGGTTTGAGGTACTTACTTTGCTTAAGCTTGGTTTCGCGCATGCAAATTACGTTTGTTTCATTAGCTTTCAGAAAAAAAACCTAGATCATGGTACTGCTAAAATTATAATTTCGACCGAAAGTTATCATAAAAGTGTTCGCTTCAGAAGCACCTCATTTGACAATATCATCTATCATCACCGTTAGCACTGCTGGTGTCGATATATAATGGGTTTTTTAGGCCCAGTATTCTTATACTGTGGTGGAAACTTTAATGGATCATCTGGACGAAAATGCGAAATCAAGCCCCACAATTAGAACCAGCATCGCGGAAGTATTGTCTAAAATAATTGCTATTGCTGCCGGTGAAAGTGTTGGTAAGCTTAATAGTAATAAAATAAATCATCACTCAAATACACGATTGGAAATTATGTATTATAAGTAACCTAAGATGTATTTAGTGGATTCAATTCTAACTGTCTTATACCACATCTAATGATCATCAAATGTGGTAGTCGTGTAGTCAAAATGACAAAGTATCTGTAAAAGGGACGTGAGTATCTGTAGTATTCATAATTAATTCAAAAAGCAATTCGTTTCGCTGTAATTTGGATACTGGTGCAAGGAAAATTGACTTCGTTCTTGAAAGGAAGATAATTCTGCGACTTAAAATACTAATGAAAGAATGCCGTTTTTAGAACACACTATGAATATTGTGTAATGGCTTTTCAGGTCCATCGGTTCTGGAAATAATAAATTCCCTGCTAAATCATCTGCGGGACTCGGTGAAAAATGGAACAATCCAAGCAGAAGAAAGGCAATATCAGGAAGCGCTAATAAACGCTCTAGGAGAATTTGCAAATCATCTACCGGACTATCAAAAGATAGAAATAATGATGTTTATTATGAGCAAAATACCTTTTCCGCTTGTTGATAATCAGACACCTGCCGATAATATGCTGCAGAGCATTTTACTTAAAAGTTTACTAAAGGTAAGAAAATATGCATATTTGGCACGATTCAGTTGTAATATTGAAGATAGTTGTTTTTTTGGAAGTACTTCTTTAACAGTCTACATCGATTTAGATCGGCAAAGCGCTAGTTTGCGAAGTGCCGGCAGTTTAACAAAAAATAAGCTAACTATTCTTTTGAAACTTGTTTTATTAGTGCAAATTATATTATTTGGAAATAGCTCATATTTGTTTAGACACAGATATTATGTTTCACACAGAATCTAGCAAATTTACAAAAGCAAAAATTCGTGTTGGTTTTTCCAAGAATGAAGACAAACTTGAATTCGAATTGAAAATAATATTTTTCAATATCTGAAAAACAATTAAGTAGAGCTAAGATAATTTTTGCTTAAACGCCTACAATCATTTACAAAAGGAAACTAAATGCAACACAGGCTACTGCAAACTTGCATTTATAGACAGCTTCTCATCTAAGAAAAATGTCCAGGTTTGAATGCCATCCACCAAGAGATGCAGGCAATACTAAAGAATATTTTTCTTAAAACTTTTTGTATTAAATTTAACTGGCTGTTAAAAGTTACTACTAAAACTCAAGAGCCGTAAAAATTTGATAGATTTGTGTATTTTTAGGTCGGCACAAAATACCAAACAATTCATTTCAACACAACCTTCCCTGTGTCCTTCCTTGAACCTTTATTGCGAATGTCTTTAGCACCCGATCCAGAAATGAGACTCTTAGTTCAGAAAATATTCCATACGCTTTTGGATAGACATGGAAATTTGGAGAAGTTACATAAACCAACGTAGGTATTACGGGCTTAACTTACTTTCGCAGTAAACCCTTTCATATTATTTAACAACAGCTTATAAAGTGAAAATAATTTAGGCTAAACATCGTTGATTCCGATTTGAACGTTGAGAAATCGTCACGACCCGACCTTATCTTCATTAACAAGCATGGGCCCACCATATATGACGCCTTATATACAAGTCTTCAAATGGATTCAAATACTCCTGACAATATTGAAGCCATTTATACAACTCTAGGTTTACTGTGTGTTGAATTAGCAAGTACAGAAACAGTTATTGACTTGTTGCAACTGTTGCTGGGGTAAGCGCATATTATTTTTTATTTTATTTTTTTGTGAGTGTGTTGGTGTAAGGGTGTACAAAGTTAGACAGTAGTAGCACAAATAAGAACCACAAGACTTTAAAGATGAGATATAAAGGACTGAAGATTGATTTAGCACTTTTCTGTAAAAATGGACCACATTCTTTAATCTATTTAATTAGTTTGAGAGGGGTTTGCATTTAAAATAAGAAAGTTTGGTGATAGCTTTGGTACACCCTGTATAGCTAGAGGGCTAAATGTATTTTACATGATTTCAGCACGACGCGTTATGACCGCAAACAAAATTTTAAGTTTGTACAACTGTAAGTTGAAAAGTTATTTGCCGGTGAATATTTGTTTTTCTTTTTGATCATTTTATTATTTAAAATTAAAAGCTATATTTATACAATACTTTAAATTCATAGCCACATAACTTTCAAATTTTGTAACGGATATCCGTACATATTATTGGGTCACTGTGTATAATTTATTTTAAAGTCAGATCTGCACTTGGATATTATACTTAATATACATGATGCCCATTTTGCGAGCTTCTCGAATCTCAGCAACCAGAAGTTTTCATGAGGTCGCTTGAATCGTTTCAAAGCTGCACACTTTTGAGCTTTGTCAAAGCGGTAGACTGGATAAATTAATTCGTGTTAATTTATAAATTTCTTTAAAGTCAAAATATGAACTATGACAAAGTTATACCAGTAAGCTTGGAAAAAATAGGTTTATCTAAATATGCAAAAATCCATTATGGCGGTAATAAAAACAAAAAGTTAATGCTGGCTGACTGGAAGGTTGAAACTTGTTATTTTCAACAGGGGAAAAATTTGTATGCATCAATTCTTTTTGATTATCTCTAGTACTCCGAATTTTCAAAGTTTTAAAACGACACCTACCAAAAAATGCGCAAATTTGTCCCGATTTAAGTGATCTTATCCGCTATGGCTTCCGAGATTCTAATGGCGATGCTCGTAAAACAAACACCCTGAATGATATTAAATGCCCGACTATACAGAAAATTATTATAGTCATAAATCAATTTGAAAATTTTAATTTAATTTTTAGCATCCAAAATTTGGCTCTAAACTCGACCACGCTATCTTATGCGCAAAAATTCAATCTACATGCTTTGGTAATCAGCCTGTTGGTATTAATATCAGATGTGATGAACATTCAGTCTCTGTCTGATTACTCCAGTCGATTAATAGAAGCAAGAAGAGAAGAAGCTTCTTACTGTTTACCCGAAATGTTAACGCAGTATCCTGCTCACTGTGAATCTATTAGTAAAATGCCTCATTTGTTGGTCGATCAGGTAAGTTACTTAAGGCATTGTTGCTTCATTGTCAGTGAAGTGAAATATACGGAAAAATATGTTTTAAATATCTGCGATTGCTTTAGTATCGTTTGCTATTTGAGGGAATTGACATGAAACATTTCCAACATTAATACATGTGTATTTGCGATTATCTTAATCTAGCTACTACCCTTAAGAATGGTCAGCTTTTGACAATTGTTCGTATAACAGTAAGTCTGCGGTCAAACTTCCTTAGGAGTATATTATATTATGCAGTTTTCATTTATCAAAAAGTATATATTTATTATTTGCACTTTGCTGTCGACTATTAAATTTAGGATTAGAGTTCTAATTTTTTTAGATGGCGGTGTGTGAGTACTTAAAAGCATCCGGAATAGATCCTTCTCGTTTAGCACAAACTTCACCATATGGAGCAGGAGGTCCAGGTGCGTATATAAATTTTATTTTCTAACATCAGTAAATTGCTGATCTTATTTGAAACAGTAATTTTGTTTTGGCGTCATTTAATATAAAGCTAGACGCGTGCTGAAGCAAACTGGCCTGACTATTTCCAAATAAGATAATTTAACTGTTGTCTCTCGTTCACGCTTTAGGCAATTGGCGAAATTATAACTTTAAATAAAATTTGTTTCACAATAAATAATCAAGCCTCCTTAAGGTGCTATAGCAGGAAGTCAAAGACATAGTTGGATGGAAGCTGGCGCTCGTGGAAGTATAATGGAAATTCCGTCTGTACACGAAGTGGATAGTGCAGCGAGCTCGCCTGGCGTCACAAGAGTGAGTGAGGATTCTTTTTTGAACTTATCTGTTCCTTGCTCGGAGGCTCAGAAATGCGAGTTTTTAAAATAAATTCCTGCAAATTTACCTGTTAATATCTTGGACTATTTCCACTTGCATCACAGGTCTATATTAATAGCATTTTTTAGAAATTACCTGAGGAAGGTTTAAGTTTTGAAAGTATGAAAAAGGTTCTGAGTGAACCTCCCGAAATCCGAAAGGAAAGTGAGGCCGAAAAGAGGAAGCAAATTAGTCATACATTTAGAACTGCGACGTTTTCCGAATTGGTTAGACTAACTCAGCCTAAGGTATAAAAACCATTGTTATGTTGAGCACGTTGAAGTTTAAATTTACTTTCAGCATGATCTGTTACAAAATAAACTCAACGAAATATTCAAGTCTTTAACCACAGCCGAGAGCAGTAGTACAACAGACGATCCGAAGAAACTTTCCAAATGTGAAGAAAGTTTTCCAGAACTTTTTTATTATTAGACAAGGTAAGTTTATCCAGGTGATAGTACATATTAGAAAATCGGGTTTATGTGGTATCTGTTAAATAGGAACGTATTTATATTTTCGAATAACATACTTTTTTACTCCGATTTCTTGGGTTTAGTAATACAATTATTTGCCGAAATGTGCGGAAATGACAAGTATGTATTGAAACTACTTCACAATGTTCCAAAATCGAATCACTTATGTTGAAAGCGATCAAAAAATAATTGTTTCGTTGCTTTGCACTCTAAATAATTTAAAAGCAATTAATTGTGATATTCCTGTTTGTGGATCTTTAAATAATATTTTTATGTGGCGTAACTAAAGTATTTAAATTGTATTAATAAATATCGGTTTATGTTTAACCAATAGATGTAGTAATCGTAAAAAATATTTAGGTAGACATCTAAATAAAATATATGTTAAAATTAAAAGTCTCAAAAGTTAAAAAATCAGACGTATTTTTAATAAATATGGAATCATTAATACACGCCGTGAATTCCAAACCTGGTAAGTAGAAAGAACATTTTAACCCTATTATTTACAAATTATTCCAATTCTTATCACCAAAGAAGTATCTAGGTATACTAATTTAACGGCGACTGCTATCATACAAAATGGTTGAAAATTGGCGTGACTTCCCTCAAGAAGTTAATGGGGGCCCCATTAACTTCAACAAGTATTACGGTCACTAACTTTGCGAAAATGAAACTTTAATTCAAGTTATACTGATTGGAAGATAAAAAATCACTAATCAATTGTTTCATAAATTTGTAGTCTTCGAAGAGGAAGTTGCTCACACTCACCTCACATTTTTTTTTCGGTTCGGTTTCGGTACGGTGAAACGTGTTCGTGTGTTACAAAACTGAATTGATTTTCAAGAAATAACTATTTCATAAGGTAAGAATCACTAGAACATGGAAGAAAAACAATAATAGTGACTATCTCATTTTTATTGCCAGGTCGGATCTATCTACCTTTCTCCACAAAAATAACCCTACAATAGCTGACATGTTAACTTAATAAGTTACACAATTCTGAGACAGGTAGTAAAAAAGTCGATTATCTATAAAAAAAAACATTAGTACTGTAAATTAAAAGTCTAATCTGTACTTAGGTACAGATCAAATTAACTGAATCAGATGTAAGATATTACATGTGATTTATTTAATTTCTAGTAGCTCTACATCAAAAACAAGAGTCGCATTGGGAGGAATTACCCCCGGGTGACCTCGTTGCCCATAACCATAATCAGGTGAGCAGGTCAGTATTGCCCTCTGACCTACACTCATCTGAAATAAATTAACATACATTAAAATGGACTCGAATTATTTCCAGGCAACTTAAGAAAACATCACTGTTTGTCAGAAAGAGCCACTGGTCATCAAACTATAGACTAATGTAGGTAGGTAGACTACAGTATGAGCGCAAGGATAAGTCTTCATCATGTTTACATATTGTTCGTTAAGTAATCACGAGATCTTTGCAATACGTATACAATTGTAGGCGAAAAAAAAATAAAACAGCCAAATAAATAATAAGAAAATGCAGACTGCCAAAGTAAAATGTGAATAAATCTATTCTTTGATTATACCTAAACACTTATATTCTTTCTCTTCTGATGTCTTTTACTTTGATAAGACAGACAATGGCGATAGATAAAAAAGTATCTCCATCCACCCAAAGCTCCATCCACCCAAATGCCCTTTAGCATTGTAATACTTAATCTGAATTTTCTTTGGAACTGTTCCGAAGCATGAACAAAAGGTTCCTTAAGTTCCTGATAATGAACGTAATTGTTTTCACCTAAGAAACCTGTCGAGATCACGTTGCCTAAGACCTTTGTAGAATAGTTTCAATATAAAATAAATATAAAAAAATCATAATTACCTGTGCAACGCCCTCATCCCAACCTTTGATAACTTCGCCTTTTCCAATGACGAACTTAAAAGGTGGTCCTCGATCGCGAGAAGAATCAAATTTGCTTCCATCAGTTAAAGTACCCGTATAATGAACCACAACAGTCTGGCCGCTTTTGGGAAATGTTGAACCTGTAGTAGAAATCGAGGAACTATTTATTAATCCATAAGATAATTATTTTCGATGTTTTAAAAATATTGTTTACAGATACTTCTATGGTACGTTGTATTCATCAAACTAATTTTCTACAGACATTTTCTTACAAGGACTCTCTTTTTTACAAAATTGACTTGGCATACTTGGAGATCACGGGATTTGTTTTTTAAATGTTAGGTTTATTTCTCGTAAAAATTAACTGTAAAGATTTGAAGGCAATTTAAAATGTTCTATTAAGCAAATTTCTGCTGTTGATAAACATGTCCGCTTTACAGCCTATTTGTGGTTAGTTTTCAAATTGTGCTCTTCAAAGATTGAATGTTTAACAATATCGAAAATGCATGAAAAATCTCTTCTGAATGCTGCTTATTACAAACAAGATTTTTCTATGGCAGCGAAAGTTGCATCTAAATTGCTTAACGCATATAAGAAACAATTAAAACAGTTTTGAACAATTTACAGATTTCGCGCAGCTTTAAATTTTGTTACGTTGAAAGACCATATCGTATAAATGTTGACACAAAAAAAACAGATTTTAAAATAATTACAGCATCAGTGTTAATAGTCATTTCCATTGAAATTCTTTGAACATGGAACACTTTAAAATGCACTTTTTAAAATGCTGTTTTTATAATAAATTAATCGTAATATTTGATTGATTGATGAAGAAAATGTGTTTTCCATAAATCATGATTTTTTATTTGAAGCTTGAAGAATTATTGAAGTTTGGGCCGGAAGTTGTCCCGAAAAGCTTGCATTAATTAAAATTCTTTAATCCCTTCAACTTAGCTTCAAGGTCGAGGGCAAAGCAATGCAGTAGTTGTTATTGATTTTCCATTGTTCTAACTGATGCCATTCTAATAAAACCGAAAGCGAACAGACTTTGAAATTTGGTGAAATTACAATAATAAAAAGCCGATAACTTTTCCGAAGCATGCTTTATTCGAGCCGCGTGTTAAAAACTCACCATCTCCCTGTGCAAGTGTTTGGATCTTTACCCCCATTCTATAAAGCAAAAATGTGCTGATTAGAAATTCGGAATAACATCGATTGGGTTACAAGTAATTTACCTTAAAAAGTTATGTACAAAATTAAACTCAGACACTGAAATCCAACCAACGCCTTTCAGATTTTCGTGAGTCTGACAAAAATTGACAGATGTCAAACGAGTACCGCAAATCACAAAACCGGAGCGCGTTCAAAAGCAACGCTCATCACAGATCACAAAGTTTATATAATACAATATATAGTTTGCAATGTTCAACCCCATATACTGTCATAAAAAGAGTTTGTCGCTTATTCTAGTAGACGCGATAAGAAGCCTCACATTTTCATTTCGTATAGAAGTAATTTTCTTTTAATGATCGATATAACAGATCATGTCTTTACCGATTGTCTTCAGCGGGAGATTTGAATTTACTGTAGGATTTCCACAATTTTTGCATAAGTTTCAATCATGATTCAAACATCTCATAATATCCTTTAATTGGGCTGTTAATTATCAATGTCTTAATGCACACAGCGAACCCTATTTAAACAGCATAATTAAATGGCATAAAATTATTGAAATATGGAGCTAAAGTTCAGAAAATAATCCTCCTAACAGATCAGAAAATAATGCTAAGTTTTAAAGTAATACTGCATTCCGAACAATTTCTAGTCTTCGTTGATGAGGGACATCACAGATTGATGTTGTGACTTTATACTGTTTTATTAATTTTAAATTAAATTTAAATGCGTTTCTCGAATAAAGCTTGCAATGCAAAATCATATTGTTTTTCGATTATCGATCGTTCTCTGAAGTTTCCGCGCCACTTTTTATATATAACCATATAATATCCAAAATAAATTCACAAAAATAAAACCAGTAAAGTTAAAATTGTCTCACAAAACGGATCGCTAATTTGCATAATCTGCAAACTTTCATTCAAATATGCCACACGGTTTTTTTAACAACTATTTTTATGTAAAACGTGTTAACCCGGTATATAAAAAACTAAGCGTTTTTGAACTATGGTGTGTATGTATTACGGAAAAATATAAAAAATTACATCTGCTATAACTTTCACCAAGGACTACCATACACCCTGTACATCTTTTGGAGAATAGTCTCATCTGGTCTCATGTTTACTTAATTGTAATTTAATTTTATGTTTTATGCTCTTCTATACTTTATGGATCAGAGAAGATAAAAAAGAACAACTACACGGGTTAAATAATGTTTAAACTGCTTTTTTTTATTTCGGAACTACAGTATAACATGTAAAACTTTAACAATTCGAGAGCTATTAATCTATAGTTGATTCAGTCAAAGTAGGTACTATTTGTACATAACCTTTGTTGAAACACATTAAAATTTACAAATATAAACAAACATAATTTTACAGTATTACTTTTTATAATGCCTTAAAATTACGCCTTATAACTACAGCAACAAAAATAAATTTGAATATCTGTAGTTAGTTTGACTAGGTTTACATCGTATGCTATTACATAAATTAATTACTACATATATGGAACTTAATCTAATAATAAATAGAAAAAGTTAAAGTCCAGCAAAAAATGGTGCAAATGTGCTTTAGATATCCACTTCCAAAAAATATAGTTATCTAAAATCCGTTGTTTGTCGCTGGGAAATGCTAGATTTTCAGATAAAATAATTCAACTATAAAACCACAGGTTCTAAAGCAATTTACATTGTGGCGTTTTTCAATATTCAAATAATCTGTTAAAATGTTAGCTTAAAAAAATCTGTTTTTTTAGATAGATTTTTTAGATCTGTAAAAAACTCGAACTATCTTAAAACATTAACGCTCTGTAACTATTAAGTTTAGAGTGAAATAAATCAAATAATTATGTTTCGGTGAAAGAATGTCTACAGTTTACACCAATCTTTGCTGATCATCTTGATTATACAGAGTGTCTCACTAAGAACAAATTCACCACTTGAATTCTTCGATTACAAGCTAAATAAAATATTTTTTCAGTTTAAAAATGTATATAAATATTCATGGGATCATTATACCTTAATGAACATATCTTTTATGCTGATGAATATTTATATTTGGTTTCATATTTGAAGTATTTTTGTTCAATTTCTATTAGCAGAATAGATTAGTTTCCCGCCTTCAATGAGACATCTGTTGTATAGAAAATGCTTTCGAATGTAACATTTGGTATTCTTAGTTTATTACAATTCGAGTGGAGGGTTTTGCTTATAATTAATAAAATATTCTAGAGTAGACAAAATAATTAAGGTCAATATCAAGATTAGAAGTTATTATAAAGCATTCTTTGGTCCAAAAACGTTTACAACTGATATTCGGGATGAAGGGATGAGTTATGAAATAAATGAAACGCTTCAAAGTACGAGACAAAACCAAAATAATTTTGCTGCACTTATTTTGAAGTTTTCCAACAATTTGTTATTGGTTTGGAAAAAATTCACTTAAAGTGAATGGAATACTGAAACTCATGTTCAAACACCTTTTTTAAAAGGTCGTTTGATTCTCTTTCCAATCCATGCCCCGCAACCAGCTTTATTCGAATAATTATGCGAAAAGATTACGTTTGAATACGAACAAATAGAGCCCCGAAATGGATGTTTCGTTTTTGTATTCGTAATCGCCCTTTGAAGTAGCTGCGTATACAGGGTGAGTCCGCGAAGCGAGACGGATCGTTTTTAGATCGTACAGAAATAGCAACTGAAAAAAAAACGTTCATATAAAAGTGTTATGGTTGTCGCCAAAGTATTTGTTTCTGTTACTTTCAACTATATAGGGTAGATCAAAATAAAGTTATGACACTCAGGTTTATTTTTTTTTAAATGGAACAGCTTACTTTTTAGTCCAGATTCAGGTTCTACATTGAATTCGAATTATTTTTTATATAACATACTTTGTGAATTAATTCAATGGTTCTGGACATACCGTAATTTGAATATGGGGACGCAACAAAAGCAAACTTTATTATAATTTTTTTAAATAAAATAAAACAAAACCAAAACCACATCATTTTTATATAAACGTTCTTTTTTAGTCGCTATTTCTGTACAAATGGTATTTTGTAAATATACAAAGTTTATTTTAGTTTAGTATATATTTCAAAAAAGTTTAATTTTTGTATTTATTATCCTGCTAAGCCTATTTTAAACGTCAGGAACTATTCAAATAAACACAAATATAAATAATTACCGACGCATGAAAACTGCTCATACCGATAGTAAACTGTTGTGCTACTCGAAATGTTAACCACTAATAAAAAGGGTTTTTCACAAAAAAATTCGGAAATTACAACATCCGGGTCTGAAGTAAATTGTCAAGTTCAAAGGTATAAATAAATTACAAAGTTATGGCTGGCGGATTAGTGAACATGTCACTATGTTTTGAATAATTATACATAAAAAACTAGTTTAAATAAAAGAGAATTCTAGTTTTTAAATCGTGGACAGATTCCAACATATAAATTTATGGAAGGATTTCACTAGAAAGCCCGATGATTATTACATGTATTATCTCCTATATCTTGTTTCACTATATTACTTTACGGATGTAGGACTATTAGTAAATAAAATTGTACTAGTTTCATTCGATTCACTGTAAAAATATTAATAAAGAAGCGTTTTCTTACATCTAATTGATATGAAACGTCAAAATGGATGAGTATACTTACAACTAAGCACTATGCTTTAATGAGTTTGCTAATTTTTTTCTTATTTAAATGCCGTTTTAGATATCATGATTAGTTATTACTATTAGTTATATCTATTTTTTGTTAACATTAGGCCGAAAATCAAAATAATCATGCACCAATCCCTCAAGACTTCATTCATAGACCCTTCCATAGACAGAAACTTTCTAAAAGGGGTCTAAGTAAATAAAATTAGGTCTAATAATAAAAATATTGCAATAAACACACGAGAATTATTAAAAGCATCCTACATGCTTATACAGAACTTGTGGAATGTTTTCTTGACTTTCTACTGCAATGGTACATTTTTGAATTCGGGTCAGGCCAGGTCAGGTCAATATATTAAGTTATTTAAGAAATAAACAGGTTGATTTAAAGTTAAGTTGCATAACTTCATTCGTAAATAGAATAAAAACTTCCTGACATGACACCCCAAAGGCATCGCTAACGAAATATAAGATGTAGACAATGTTTAAATTTAGATTTCAGGAAGTAGAAGCGATAAGCAACATTTTATCGGTACTTACAGCTCATTTTTGAGTGTTAAATCGAATTTTAAATATGTCAATGATGAAGATTTTGGGATTGAGTGGATTACGCCTCTTTGATAATGCAATGTAAGATATATGCAGTATTTATAGATGCGCTCAAGTAATTGATGCATGGTAAATAGAACAAACTATACGGAAACATCAATATTGAGTACCTATAAAAAACCTGATACAAGTACACATATAATATACACGTAACAATAGTTATGCATAGGGTTGTCCAAACCAAAAATGGAAGACAATATGAGAAAGGTAATTTCGCCATTTCAAATGTTAAACTTCCTTGTAGGTTGGTCGTCTACTAGAGTGCAGCTAATAAAAATGTGTTAAATTAAGTCAAGTTTCAAATAGAATTCAAAAGACCGATTTTCGCATAGATTAACGTGCGAATTTGTGTCAAATTCTTTCTGGAAAATACAGGATGTTTCCCTATCAAATGCATTAATCAATCGCTTTAAAAAAATTTTTAAGCTTTTAACTTCTCATGAGTAGTGACCCAATTTATAAAAACATTATAAAATCCATGAAACTTGTACGTATTTATTCAACTTATTGATAGATCAATACTATCTCAAAGAGGAAAGAAATTATAAAGGCAAATGAACGCTGTAGCGACGTAAAGCGAAGCGAAGCCGAACAAGTTTGTTGTCCAAATTGAAACCTCAATTGTTCATGTAGAATAAACTCTAATTTTTTTGTCTTTATTTTGTCTCAGTGCTAGTCTGGTTTTCTGTTTTTTTAAATGCGCTTTCAGTTGTCCAAAAGGGAACACAAAAAATTACGAGAATACCTGTTGAGCTCAAAATACATGATAAATACAAAAGTCAACATAAAAATAACGTGTAAACATATTTTTCATACAAATATTCAGTTCAATACTTTTGAACACTTCGTCAAAAACATATTTTATAACATTTTTTTGTTTCAATTTCCTGATCTATTATGGTACCTGGCAGTTTTCTCGTTTATTTATTTCTGTTATGCAACAACGTGCTCGTGTAAACATGAACCAACCTTGTCAAGAATTTTTATACCTTTTCTTCCAACTAATTATTCTCATAAACCGACTCAAACGCCGAAAAATCCGTGTCTTTTCAATACTATTTTCCCTTGCAAAGTATACTTATAACGTAATATTTCTAATAAATTCTTACATTATCTCAGTGCAGTTAGTGTATTTGCAACCATTGATTGAGTAAACTTTGCTATTATTTCATACATGGTTTTAAAGTGTGTATACCCCGTTTGGAAAGTTGAATATGTAAGAACTTATTTGAACATTATAAAGAACCTAACTATTTAATCATAGCTAAAGCTTTATCGGTTTACCCACTGTTTTAGAGCCTCTTCGAACTCTATTGTTTCTTTGTTTCTCACTTCTTCATGCTCGTTAGATTCTAACTGGCATTCTAAGCTGTGCTGCGGCTCTTGCCCGGAGTGGTTATCCTGCCTCGAGTACTAAAACAAAATAATATAATAAATAATACTAAGATACAATTAATTTCAATTACTGAAAACGTATTTCCAAAACGTTTCATTTTGTCAAAGAAGCTCCAAACTACATAATAATATTGTTATTTTGCTATTAATATGAAAATAGTTAGTACAAATAGTCCTAGCTACTAGACATTGGCTGGAAAATAGACAGCGAGCAAATATATTAAACCTGCAAAAAACATTCAAATGACGAAAAACCAGACTACAGCTATTCTTTCTAGTAGACATCTTCTTTGTTTAATTTCCTTTATTCGCTAATTATCACATACAATAAAAGCATTACATAGTCGTGAAGAAAAGTATAGTTGTATATTCCCGATCAAATTTTAAATTATTTTCTGTTGTACATTTCCTGGGAAGCAACTTACTTATACTTATAAGTGTTTAGAAGACCTATACAGGATGGTTATATTTTAATCTGCGAGATCTTAGGGACGTATTCTACACTCAAAACATTACGAAAATGTCATATAAGTAGATTATAGTAGAGGCAAAAATAGTCAGGCAGAAGGTGGTTATTGTTATTAGTTTGGCAAAAATAGTTCGAATATACTATAGGAAAATGTTTGTAATAATAAGCAGAAGTATATAATGATCTAAATAAATCACTAGAACAATATTGTTAAGCTAGCATGCAAAACGGTGTTAAAGGATAATCAACTGAAAGAACGTGTGTGTGGATTATTTTCTGCATCTGTTACCAGAACACACCTGTTGCCCAAAATGGTCTTGCATTTGTTCGGCGGTATAATTCTTCTGCCCGCTATTCTGCGGATAGCAGATCCCCTGCATCTTAAAATTCTGTCCATGGATGTAGTTTTGACCAGGAAAACCTGGTATATCCGGATAACCTTGATTCGTTTCTGGTGGACTTGAAGGATGCCTGGCTCGCAACTCTGCCATAAAATTTGCATCTTGCATATATCGGCGCTGTAACTCCTGCTGCCAACCACCATCCGATTCATCTTCACCGTCGTCCTCAAAATCTGAATATGAAGCATAACAGTTACTGACAAGTTGGTACTATTTTAAGTAAACTTATGCGATAACGCCTTTGATTATGATGAGAAGTGTGACAAATTATATATTTACAAAAAAAAACAAAACTAGTGGAATGTATGTGTAAGCGATACCTACTGCAGCTATAAACACATGCAAGGAACACTACCAATCAGAAATTAATAGTAATCAAAAATCGAATTAAGAAACACTTTTTAGTATTAATGCACAGAACTAAACGAGTTGCAATTAACAATTGATTCAATTTTAAAGTGATCAAATGAAAGAATGTTTTTAATAATTGAAAATGAAACGGGAGTAACAACATGAACAAATTTTACTTTCACACTTTAGTACTTACTAACAGATTTTCTGGCCGTATTCGTCTGTAGATGGCCTGAGCTTTCTGCAATGTAACAATCATTCTGAACAGGCAGCATTCCATAGATAATCTACCACAGTATAGACCTTTCTATGCAAAATGTTATTTGTTTAAAATAATTAATAAAGTCGAAAATAAATAACAAAAAACTTACCTACACAGTTACCACATTAATATAAACATATAATCTATAACACATTGTTCACACCAATTTTGCTATAAGGAAAATACGCTTAAGGAAAAAAATAATAAAAAAATAAATCGTTTAATTAAAAAAATAATATTATCAACACGTAAATGGAATTGAAACTAGACACAATTTCAAACACAAATTAACAACAGTAAAATATCGTTATAAAAATATAGCTAGCACAATTTACAACAAAATCACATAAGCATAAATAGTAATTTGTGGAAGTGGACGACCTTTTTTTTGAACAAATACGACAATTAAGTCAAAAATGGTGAAAGTTATTCTGCTCGTTAGTTTACCTTTCAAACGTCACAAAACATTTTCTAAGTTCATATTCATTCATTCACATATTTGTAATGTTTCGGATAAAACACTGTATTTCTTAAAATTGATGTGCGTGTTTTATTTTCACCCATATATTACAAAAACGTAACGATTTAACAAAATTTTCTTTATCGTAAAAATCTCAGTTTTCAATACACAGATTGTCAATTATGCAGAATTACTGTTAAATGGGGCAATTGCTTAAATTGACTGGAGATATATTTTAATGCCGATTATTGTACTAATTGTCATAGTTCAATTGCATTTTTCCTTCTTTAGTACCTTGATTGTTATCTTTATATTTATAATACTGACTTTTATATCATCTTTATTTTCATAAAAATTAAGAAGCGCCTCGGGCTAATGTGAACTACCACTAAAAGCCTGCTAAAACAGAAATATAAAATTTGATCTACAGCATTTCCAGAAAAAATAACGTACCCTCTGATTATCTGTATATTGAAAAATGACAAAGTACTTCAGATAAATAAAATTTGGCTACATTTCTGATATTATTAAAGAAAGAGCATATAACTCGAACATTCGCACACTACCTTTTACATCACTAAGGTGAACAATCTCAATTTTTTCCCTGGATTTCTTGCTTTATAAAAATAGGTCGCACATAGTCTTAAAACATAAGCCCCAGGAAAACGAGTAACCAAAATAATTTTAGGGCGGTTATAACTTTAGTATCCAAACACGATTTTATCTTTTTCCGTAATAATATGAAGATGGCATAATACATAAGTACATAGTTTTGGGCAAAAGTTTTTCCAAATTACGAAAATACTACTCCCATCAATTTGTGGAGGATAAATGCAATAATTAAAATAATATGAGACGTATACAATACAAAAATAGCATGCTGACAAAAAATTACAAACTGTATTAATATTCGATAGTGTTGTATTTCTTTTTCTGTCAAAAATTAATTCCAAAATTAATTTCCGGATCCCAGTCCGAAAGAGATCTAATTATAAATATAAAAAATGTAATAGTTTTTGCATATTGCGGAAAACTGTAATCTTAATACGTTCCAGGCGTGCAGCAAATGGTGCAAACGGTTTACTAAGTGCCGTGGATATTCAACAAACTTCCATTTAGAGCAAATAATCATTTCAATTATTACATTTTAGAGTTTTTTAGTGCCCGAACATTCCGAAATTTACTGCTTTCGGCAGCACTTGATCATGAAGGTACCAGGTTCAAGTTCTGCCGAAAGCAGTAAATTTTTCTTTTACCAAAAATTAATTGTCCACTTAAGCCGCAAAAAACCCTTTCAATTATTACTCATTACAGTTTCCGAAACATCTTAATGACCTGATTAATTTCCATCACAATGACTAGTAGTATGCTGTGGATGAGAAAACAATAATACTCATACAAAGAAAAATGTAATTATCACCAAGGATCACGTAACATAAAATTACAGAGAAAGTAATTTTGTTCTTTCTTCGATGCCGATCTTCTAAATTACAGTCAGGTTTGAAATATTTGTCTAACATTGAGCAAAGCGAAGCAGTTAAAACGCAATTTTCGGTTACTGTAACGATTTCGAGATTTAGGAGTCAGTATTTCTAAAAATTACAGTAACAATCCTATATCTACTTTCCGACCAATTTTCCTCAATTACTCTCATTTGCCAGCACATTTTCAATTTCCTTTTCCAATATTTAAATGTATTGATTTAGGAAGTACCTCTATAGGAGCTTAAACGTGCAACAATACAAGGTCTTAATTTAAAAAAATGCTGATATTATATCGCTGCTGTCTAAAAAACGTTTTAATGGGCGTTCGTTAGTAGACAGTAGGATGTTAAGTAAAACGAAGCGCTATAATACACTGCAACGAATAATCATTGCACAAAATATATGTTATCAAAGAGGTGAAGTTTCGGAGCCACAGTTCGCAAAATTAGTTCAATCATGGGCTGTCGGAATAGTCCTTGCCATGAAAAAATTAATTAAAAAATTGATAAAACTGGATACGTTAAACACGTGAAAACAGAAACACGTGTTCACGATTGTCGCTCGACTAAAAAGATCGCAAAAGTGCGTGCAAATGTTGAGGAAAGCCCAAAAATCTAAAATTGGTGGTTCCACAAACGCTATGCAACGAATCTTAACAAGAGATTTGAAACTTCATTCGTACAAAGTTGAATTATCTCACAATTTAAACTAGGAAATTCATAGGCAGTCTTGGCGGGTTAGATTTTAGAGCCACGACAATTGAACATGATTTTCAACAAAAATCATCTTTAGTGACAAGGTCTATTTTAGTCTTGATGGCATCGTTAATCGACAAAATTGTAGCATTTGTGTTGAAACTGTTAAAATACTGTACGAGTTATTTCCCGGCGTTTGAACTTTTTTTCAAACATACGCATTTATGGAATAATGATCATAAGGTTATGAACTTCCCACACCCTTATGCTATGTATGCGCACCCTTTATCTCGAATCTTCGATGTAAAATGCAAATTACAATGCTTTGGTATATTTTCCTACTAAACAGTTTCAACATTTTAGAATTTACTGATCTCATTGTGGAAATGTGTGATGCAATAAGTGAGAACAAAAACAAACAAACAATCTTGAATAAATTGCACATGCAGGTGAGATTGTATTCGTCTCCGCTGGCTTCTCTGTAAGTGCGAGTTTTTACAGCACCAAACTATCGTTTTTAGCATTAGGTTACTAAATAATATATTCGGAAACTTTGAAGGAAAATCAAAATATCGTCTCTAAGCTTTTCGAGATTCTAATACAGTAAACTATAGCGACTTAAATGCATGTCAAAGTAGTTACTATTTGGCTAATCCCAATAAGTCGTAATATCGTAGGCAATATTTGACGCTGGTAATAAATAAATATAATATACAGAAAGATGCATAAAATCCTATAAAAATTCTAGCACCTAGCCATTCACATCTATCTATCCGTACCTGAGTTTAACTCTCTAACCAACGTAGACATGGCGTTGGTTACTGAATCAGCAGCTACCAATAGATCGTTTCGTAGCGAACGTCCTACGGAGCCTGGCGTTCCATTTCCATTAGAACCTAAAATAAATTTAATATTATTGATTTCATATATTGATTGATTATATATATATGATTCATAGATTCTATAAAAGATCTAAATGAACATTACATTAAAAGAACAACAATGTGATGATTTGATATAAAAATGATCTTCATAAGCATTACATTACAAATTACAATTACAACAGAAACTTCAAATCTCTTAGGATTTTTGATCCTGACCGATTTTTATATAACGCAGTGCAACTGCATGCTCTCTATTACTGACTGAGTTACCCAGGCCTGCTTTTTTAGTGGTCCACAGCTTTTATAAATGATCTGATATGATGACAAAAATCTGTTGAAAGCTTCGCAAAACTACTTGCCCATATTGACGTTCGAACCACCCCCGAAAGCATTCCTAACATCGCCTCCTACCCCCATCAAAGATGCATCGTTATTGACATTTTGCATATTTCTCTCACTTCTCTCGTTCCTTTCTGGTGGTACAGCATTGACAGGTTCAGGTCTTCCTACCATCGCACCCAATGGTTGAACCAACCCCAACGGAATATCTCTTCTATCCCTAGAAGAACACAAACCACTACTATTAATTCAATTAAACGCAACACAAATAAGCAACGAGCACTCTATTAAACCAATAACCGTGTTTGGGATGTTTCTCGTGTGCACGCAAAATGCAACAATTCAGAATTGGAGCGCGACTTGAAAACTTTTGCCTCAGGATGAAAGAATTATTTGAGCCTCTAGTTGAAATATTAGGATATAGACTTACAAACCGCACTTTTTCCATGCGAAACGTAATTTTAGAAATGTTTCTAGTTGAAAAGTGACAAAAAAGAAAAAAGTAAAAAAAAGTAGTTGAAAAAAGACAAAGTGAAAAAAATAAAATCAAGCAGATCTTGAAAACTAGACTTTGGTTCAAATTTATAGGCCCGGTGGAGCTGCAAAAGTCTAGTTGTCATTTCGGTCTACCGCTATTAAATATGCATGTTTGCAGACCAAACATCATTTCAGAAAAATTTTGCTACGTTTTATGTAAAATGCAAAAAATTAAAATAAAATCGGGTTTGGAAAATAGGTCTTATTGGCGATCACCTTAAAGAATCAGTTGTACTGCAAACCCGTATTTGAAATTTCGAGATAGGACTTTGAAATGTACACTTTTCAATTAATTTTTTTCCAAAACCAAACATTATTTTAGGTATATTTCTAGTTTTGTAAAAAGCGGAAATGGAAGATCGCTCTTAGTTTTTGGCTCAAATGTAGAGAACCGGTTGAGCTGTAAAGCTTTAGTTCAAATTTAACAATAAGACCTTGTTGGGTTTGATATCAAACATGTGATTTGTAATTTGGAATTTTTTCAATTTTCGCGCAATATGCGAACATTTACAATAACTGTGGGCATAGAGAGAAGGCTTAGTAGCAAAGCTCCATTTTTTTGTACTTAATGTAAATTATAATAATTTTCTAGAAAACATTTGGTTCATTGATTCAAAATGAGACATTTGGCGAAGGTATACCCTGTGGTCCCTATGTAGAAAATCATCGTAGTATTTTCGAAACGTATAACGTTTAATGAACCTGACGAATTTCCGCAGACCTTCAGGTGAATTGAAACCAATTTTGAATCATCCTGTATCTACTGAATCGATATAATCTCTTTATTTTAAGATAGTGTGATATCGCAAATACAATTATAATTCGTTTTCTTACTTTGACACTAGTTTCTACATGAACTGATGCCTACCTGGCCTACCTTGCAGCAACATTACAACAATATTTGCGATATCACCATTTTTTGGTTGTTGATTGTTACCTTTCTCGATCCAATCTTTCCCTGTCCCCTCCGATGGGAGATATGGAATTTACCATCGTAGCACTAGAAGAAGGCGGCATCCCCATCGGAGTCTGAGGAGCACTCCTGGGATTAGCCTGAGTGACAGGAACTGCTCCAGGTGGAAGAGGCGGCGATTTCGTGCTCCTTGGAGATGAATTCGGGGTGCTTCTTGGGGAAGATTGATGGTTCTTGAACAGTAAACCACATCAATAAATACAGAAATTGTTGCCGTTCAGCAGTACATACTTTTAACATTTTCATCAATCCTTCGAGTTGTATCATAAGTTGCCTCCGAGAGTCCTGGAGAGTGATTAAGTGAGTTTCTAACTCATCCTTGCGCAAACGTAATGCCCGAAGTTCACTCATCAAAACCGGATTATCTGCACTGTGACTCGATTCTAACTCCTGCTGTCTTCTATATTGAATCATCAAATTAAATTGTGTCCGATTTTTTAGCATGCTCACTACCTTAATCTGGCGATTTCCCGCATTATTTCACGATTTTTTGACTCCAGCTGATTAATCAGCTCTCTTTGGGCTCTAGTTGAATCCATCCCTAAACACGCTTCTGAAGGTACTCTTCCCTAAATAACAAGTCAAATCAATATAAAACAGCTGCTCTAACAAATTACATAAGATGCTATTTTAAAGTGTAAACAAACACTTTCTTTAACTACCTACCCAATTAATTTCCGAAAATAATCCCGATTCAACGGCAAAAGCTATTTAAAGCTATCTAAACACAAATAAAGCACTTACCGTTAAACCATCTGGGGACAGTGAATTTTTTCGGTACGTTGCACTTCGCGGCTAAAGAAGCACCAGCACAGCATGGCAAAAGCACAAAAAGTGAACGCGGAGTAACATAGAAAAAATGTATACGATAAGGCGCAGTTCTCAAATTAGTGCTTAAACTTACCATTCCTCCTCGAGCCTCTTGGGCAAGTTTGGCTGCATACCGTGCTATAAGGCGGTGTTCATCATCTCTAGCACTATCAAGACTGGAAAACAACGCTGATCAAATGACGGTCAAGCTTTTTAAATATTTTTTCGAACCTTCGAGCAGTCGATCGGCTGTCTAAACTGCCCATTCCGTCAAATCCAGCACTGAATTGACCATCGGGAAAGCCATTATGGGATGGAATAGGAGATGGTGGGCTAAAAAAATTATTTGTAGCTACATCAATAAATTGTTCCTTGAACGATTCAATAAAGATCAATAAATAATGAAACAACCAGTAAAAGCTTAACTTAGAGTGTAGAACGTTGGGAAAATACAAAAAACCTTCATATATACCGTTTTTCTCCAACACCGCTACACCCCAAATAAAAGAAATGGTTCATAAAACGTTAAAAACAATTGTTAATCAGTGTAAACAGTTGGTTTTAGTATCGCAATGAAACAGTTGGGTTCCCATCTTGCTAAAAATAGACAATACTTACACGATATGAGACAGATTCAAAGTTTTCTCGGGCTGTTCCGGAAATCTGGGCAAATTATTTCTTTGCTTATCCGGCACACATCTAAACGATTTTCTGAGGGATTGTCCGATCGTTTTGCTCGGCGACTAATTAATAATATAATAAAATAGGACTATTCATTTTTCATCTATAGAATAATTCACTTACATACGATGCATATTCTTTCACTTGATGATCCAAATTATGTGGAGCCGTCACTCTTCCACGCCAAAAACAATCCTGGCATAACGTGTAATGGGGGCACTTCTGACAACGGTATCTAAACCCGGTGAAATTTTCCCTTTGGCAAGCATCACACTGGACTGGATGTGCGACTGAAAACAAGAAGTAATGTATATAAATGTTACTTATTTAAATGCAAGAAGAGGAGAAACAAATGAATATTTGAATATTTTTGATGAATTAAGGCAGCACCCGGCAAAATTTTTTAATGTTACTGCATTGGACCCATCCCTTTCTTGGCCAACTTTCGCAAAGACTACTATTGTAATAATTTTTGAATTTTTCATTTCAGAATGCCATTTTTATTTGCACAATGACTATTAATTCCTGAATACCCATTATGATGGAATGGTTAATACGACCTATTAACCACCATTAATTTTTATGATTTAATCCGAATTTTTATCTCAATCATACTTACCAGTTTCCACACTTGCAATCCGATGAATCAAAGGAAGCCATACTAAACATGGGGGTCCTGGATCTGACATCATGGTATCCAGAAAGTCATTGACAGTTATTTTGGTGTTCTGAGAGAAAAAAGTAAAATAACAATAAAAAAAAAACAAAATATTGAATCTCAAATGTGGTTATTATTCTTTAGTTAAATTGTTTTCTTGACTAGAATTTTTTCAGCTTAAGTGTAAAACAACTCGTAAAATAACAGATGTAAGAAATGTTCTCATATTAGTATAACAAATTAATCAATGATAATTAACTAGAATGTGTTAATCACAAGAATTTCGTCTTACTGTAACAGAAGTTTTATAACTTTAAACTGTAAAACTCCTTACTGGATTAAAAATTGACGCAGCTAATGTATCGGTATAACTAAACGTTGGGGATTCGTAAACTGCGGCTGGCAGAGCCAACACTTCTTGAAGATACTCGTTAAATCTCCATTGTATTAGTAAACCGTTACTATCCGAAATTTGTGAGAAAACATCTAAAACACATTATAAAAGCATAGTTTAAGTGCTGCGTATAATGAGACGGTTTTCACTTACATCTTAGCTTATCCATCAGTTTTCCTGCACACAAAGTGGCTAATGCAATTTTAATTGAAAATACTCGAATTTTGCCAACATTATCTCTGCAAGTTAAAAATATATTACAAATAGCACTTAATTGAGCTAATCAAAATAGATCAATGAAACGAATCTTAATACTGACGAAGTCAAAGGTCAAGTACCAATTTGATTCAATGTGCATCAATTATAAAAATCAATAAACATTCCATTTACATTAATGCTTGTCCTACTTCCAGATAGTTTAACATATGTGAACTGTAACTTATTATAGCTATCATAAGAAAGTCTTACACTGTGGCATAAGCTGCTAATAGCCAGTTAAGCAACAGGCTGGAACAGACATCCACATGGGCCTGTTGAGTAGGTGGCGCCCTTTTATTTAAGCTATGATACAGAGAACATAACAGGGTCTCTAGTCTTGCCACACTAAGCTCGGATGATGGATCTAATGCATGAAGCCCTTGTTCGCGAAATGCTTCTATTACATTCCATATATCAACTGCATGTACTGAAAATTGAGTAAAAGAATACGTTATTTCAACACGCTTCAGGAATAGTAATCCAAGAATAATAATTATTATCACTAGTTGGTTTTGTTCTGACTATTTCAATAAGTATTTTACATTGGCAAAATGTCATAGCATCAGTCTGTTTAATTCTATATAACAAACGAGAAAAGAGATTGTAACGAGAGTGTAAGGAGAACGCGTACGGCAACCAGTCTGTTAAAGCTACCCCAAGAACAACGGGCAGCCTTTGGCAGACAAAAAGAGGAGACTCATCCTTTTTTCCATCGGTGCAAATTCCCACATGCTTAAAAACTAATAAATACATATCGTTCTTGAAATGGAAAGATTCCTTAATTACATTGAATCTAAAGATATCGAAGGGCAATGAGAGAATCGGCGACTGACTTGGGTAGTTGCAGGCAATCAAAACATTAATTAAAGTTCTGTAATCAGAACGAATAAAGGTGTTGCGAAGAGAAAGGGACAATATAAGAATGAAATAAAACCTTTTACAGTATCATAACATCCCGACAAAATATAGTGGTAAAAAACTTTTGTACTACTCGAGCAATGTAAGTAAAACGAACAGTAAATCAAGGGCTTATAATTAAACGATACACTTTAACTAAGAGAAAAACTGACATTGAATGAAATAAAATAGGAAAAAATTTAAATTTTTCAATCACCCTGTAGATTGTGAAGAGCTTATAAATTTTATCCAACTTGAAAAACGGTACCTATATAAATTGTCTCGCTTATTGTAATAATCAAACGAATTGTTATCATTGAGCAATGATGCATGCGAACAAAGTAATAAAACCAACATCATTGCCAGTAAAGTAATTAATAAGGGATGACTACAGAAAAAAAAATTGATAACCCATTACAAACATTTACGGCTTTTGAATTTCTAAATTACGAAAAACTAATCAATATACTTACAACTGACTTTTTTTTGTATAAATCGCAGCTTTGTGGCTGTTCTGTATGAGGCAAATCGAATCAGGTCAAAGTTATGAGCACTCATTTCATGAATGAGCGCTAACCTGTGATCTGAGGAGCCCGGAGGAGCTTCTTGGCCTTGCATTGCTAAAACAGAGCAACGTTTACTTCAATATTTACTATTTTGTTGTAAGCAATAAACGTTTTGAAGATTAGGTAGACAGGAAAATAATTAGTGACAATTTTCTATTATGATATATCAGTATTGTGGCAGAAAATCACCTTAAATTGCAAGTTGATAAATGAAACTCAGGACAACCTACCTGAAGCTAATTTAGCCGCTTACAACTAGGTCACTAAAACACCCACTGCATGCACAAACTCCCTGATAATCAACACTAAATATGAAAAAAGGCACCCTTCGCCATTATCTTCAGTCTTCAATATTATGTTTGTCAAACAGATGTCAAACTATTCACTAAGACGCAAAGCCGTGTTGTGTCAAGACTGTCAAGTAGTGTTGTGATCATAGAGCAAGACTTATGTGATGTTGTGATGGGATAGAGTGCGTTCATAACTATCTGATAGCACGAAATTACTTGCGTCTATGGAACGGACCTTACACAATTTATTCATATATAGTCGGAAGTTGAATATACAATAACGATAGCCGATAAGGCGTTTGAGATTAGCTGACCTCTTCAGTTACGTACCTTTGCATTACACTAATGTTGTAAAAATTAACATATTTAATGAATAATTTTTATGAATAATTTTTATGGATAGTTGTGAACTAATGCAATGAACATCATGATCAGCTGTTAGCTTAAAATTGTATGTTTTAAAAAGTTGAGTTAAAAGATAATGGTGCTCAAATGCTAATTTTCACATTGGTCGTTGGATCCCGTTTCCTTTAGAATTTGTTGCCTTAGAAAGAAGAACAGCAACTGCTATATAGAAAAATTGCAGAGCCGAAAAGCGCTCACTTCTTAGTAATCACTAACTTTACTTTAGAAGGAAAAACCTTTTTTTTTCACCTCAAATGATGAACTTGATACATGATCAATTAGTAAATAATACTGACAAAAATAGTTTCAGCATCCAAGATTTCATCCCATTTTTTTGTACTGTGTTAGGTCTGTCTCAAGCTCCTTGTCAGTGACGCAATAATTCACTCTTTTTCTATTACTTGTGTAGCATGCGAGGCGCACGTTTGATGTTATGACTGTCCGAGGGTCCTTATAAATGCATTTTTTTTACAAATAAACTTCAAATGTCAAAGTTATTTATTCACAGTCAACAACAACAATTCTACATATTTTCTGGCGAAGCGAATAAATAATAAAATCGACCATTCCACAATATTCGGAATTAATTGTATTAAAGGAACATACATGAACCAACTACTGCAATAAAGAAGACAATACAAATACAATTTGAGTTAGATAACTAATAAAATCATGAAAGCAGATTTCAATTGGCTCCCTCAAATCATCTAATTTTTTTTTAATATGTTTGGCACATTTTCTTAACACTCTAGTCTGAACCAGTAAATATTGATTTTTTTCCTAGCAACTAGAAACAATTTCCTAGTAATACAAAAATATTATTTCATCCTTTTTTGTTTCATATAAATGTTTCTATAAATGTAAGATGTAACCGAAGCATATTACCAGCACATGCTAATATATCAAAAAATATGTCTTTTCTAATCAATGATTCAGAGATTTATTATATGTACCTGTATTAATAACTGAGCAATAACTATGGTAAGTTTTTGTCTGTCATTCCTGCAACTAATTCATTTACCTCGTCCACAATCTCCATGTCAATATCCAAATCAGAATCAAAATCTGCTTCCTCTTCAAAAGTATTTGGTAATCTCTCTGGAAGATTGTTCATCATTTCATTAACATCTATTTCCGTATCACTCAAATCAATATGTTCAACAATAGTTCCACTAGTCGATGGCATCGCGTTTGGATACTCGCCCATGCTTTGAGAAATTCCTTTTTTTATGTTGCTTAGCATTTTGCTACAGTATGTCGCTATATCTGGTTTTTCAGCGGGTTTAGCTGTTTGTATTTCTTTTAGCATCTCCTGCTGCACAGCAGCAAAACAATAGCGATTCACAATTTCGCGGCATTGCTCATGAAAGTTTAATGGCAGCCAGCCATTCTTTGCATCGAATTCTCCTGAAGCTGGCAATTTAGGTAGATTGACAAGCATATCTTGGACTTCCGGAAGTAGGATATCACAATATTGGTATAGCATTTGCCTCGCAAGAGGCACTTGATTAGGCCTCAGCGTGTAATGTAATTCTGAAAGATCCTGAGCAGCAAAACTCTTGGTTAAATTATTATTTACTGATCGCTTAGCTTTAACTTTCAGCTGCATTCCTTCCGTGTGCCGAACGCGAAAATCTAAAATTTGATAAAAGCGAGAATTAATGTCTGTGAAAGGATTATATCCAAATTTGATCCAACAAATTCTCCACGGTCCACCAATACAATAATAGGCAACGCAGGGAAGAATTAGCTTTGCTGTGTCAATATTCATGTTGGTTTTATCCAAGACTGCAGGTTTGGTCCAAACAGGGCGTAACTCAAAAAGTTCTTGTACCAGTTTTAGTTGACTCCGTAAGAACGGCGAAGTTATGTTGTCCAATGAACCTGGTGGAGGTTCCGTGGGTATATTAACAATTTTGTGCAATGAAACTCTGGTTGTTGTTATGCTAGTTTTCGTTCTCAAATTCTTTTTGCTGACATCTGTTAACTGTGGAGCATCTTTCCTCAGTGTTGCGTTTAGAACCTCAGGAGCATGAGACTCAAATCGACCGTGGGGCTGGTCAAAACGTGCATAGCTTGAACACGTTAAAAACACTGGGTTACTCTTTGCGAACCAATCCAAGGTAGGCATCTCGTCCAGTACTATTCGGTCATGTAAATATTCAACATCCGATTCTTTACATTCTGGTTTATCTTTGGGGAGTAGTGGCAGATACTGAAAGTCACACATCCCAACAAACTTAAAAGTTGTATCAACAGCGCCAATTACTTCATATGATAGTATTTTCGTTTGCTTGTCCTTTTTTACTTTCAAGAGAAAACCTACATTATGCCCCACGTTTCCAGCGCATCCTCGAATGTACTGACTTTTCGGATGGAAACATAATTCAAGTTTTTTGCCGTCAAGTGCCCTTTGAATCTCGTCAATTCCCCCAAGTGTTTCTATAGCTTTGTCGATGTTCTTCACACGTCCTGGATACTCTATTCGGATGAGCGTATTATTATCAAAAGTATGCACACAATCAGAGTCCAAATCATCCTGCACAAAAGTGTCGTTGGGGGCGAAAAGCCCCACTTGATCTTTAGGCAGTGATTTGGTTCGGTGATTGGACGGTCTTATTTCATAATCTGGATCACTGGGGTCATCACTCTCAGACTGAACAGATTTTCGACGTGATGCCATTACGTTACGCTAATTGACGACAGTTACACACTGAATAAGTATAAACTAATTACGACATACAACATTGAAAACTCGAGGCAAACAGCAATAGCATTAATCTTTACTACTCCAAACACGAAACACTCTTTGAAGGATCGGAATGGCGACTAAATCTGACAGCTGACTAAACCATAGCCTCGCTTTTCTTTCGCCTAACATCACAGTGACGCGGGTGCGTAACACTGACGTCACATTCCGTGATGTAACGTTGCAGAATAATGAATCCAGTTTTATATTATATACTCTCTACTTCTGTAAAGTTGACAGCTAACCATTTAAAATGGTCCATAAAAAAGCCATAAACATGTCTAAAAATGTTTATTGCAAATTATGCTTTACTTATTTCGCCACTATAAAAGTGGCAAAATCATGCTTGTGGCTTGAATTATAAAATAGGCTCATTCCGAAGATAAATGTTTTTTAACATTCGTTACAATGTCTTAATTTATTGTACTCCATCTTTGTTGACCTGGTTGCGATTCTGAAAATGTCGTTAACCTATAACACACAGTAATTACTTTTCGCTACGATATAGAGGTTTTGTAAACAAACAAGTAAGCACTTGTTTTTTCAGATGAAAATGTGCATGTAGTGTAAGTAGTTTCCTTCTGATGGTTTGACAGTTCTCTTCGTATAGTGTATTTAATCTGAATGTGAAATACTAGATTAAGTTTGTTTCGTAGTTAGGAATAACTGTTTCATAATATTTAATAAGGGGGATATTTTGTGGATGATACGATGGCACGAAAGTGTTCCTATTGGTTGGCCCGTCGTCGTACGAATTGACAGATCTCCAACCAATAGAAACACCTTGAGTACCTGAGCAAATTGAGACGAATCTAGTTTACTTTCTCTCTAATAAATAACAATCAATCAAACAGGTTTCACGTGGAACACATTTTAAAATGGAACCGATAACAGAGTCAGCACGTAAAGAAAGTTGCCTTTCCTGCAAACTTATATCAATTGGCTGCTTAACTGGAATTGGAAGCTATTTGGTTGCCACATCAATCAGATCGTACAAAGGCAAATCCCGAGCGTTTATAGGCGCTTTGGGAGCTGGTAATTATATTGCCTAATTTAAAAAAACGGTGTGAGTTTAAGTGTGCAATGTTTTAGGTGCGATTTGCTTAGGAGCGGGTGAAATATTTGACAAAAGTCCATTTCGATCTTCAGGAGCTGTATAAATACTCATTATTTATTAAATTATTACGACTTTCTGTCAATATATATGTAAATATCAATCAAGAACAGATATAATGTGAAATACAGTTGACAGTAGACAAAGGTTGTATTAAAGTTCCAATTTTGAGAAACAAACGAATATCTCCATCTTCTTATCGTCCGACTTGTCCCAATTTAGCGTCCGTTTTTGGATTAGCAGTAACATTTTGAACAGCTACGATCAATTCATTGGATTTGGTCTGCAGATCTCTGAGGTCATGGATATAAAGCATTCTTAAAACTTTTGCGGCTTGGTTCAACACTGGGTCTTTTAGATCAAAGCCCAAATCAGTTTCTTGAAAAGGAAATGGTGTACCCTGGTAAACAAGAAGTAGTCAATGCAATGTTAGAAAGACCCGCCTTAAAGGTACACCGTGGGCTAAACGATGTTTCTCAGCATTTAGCGCAAACATTTAAGATAAGATCAAGTGAGTTCCAATATTTTGCCCACGCTGTATACAAACTTACTTCCACAATTACGCTACTAGGATTTTCGACACACTCTGGTGTTAGTCTTGAACAAATAACTTTTCGTACAGCACGCAAAGTCACCAAAGGATCAGGATACGCGGTGATGTTCAAAATTTTAGCCAATTGGTTGATTCTGTTTAAAAATTCTTCACTCCTAACTGAAATTACGTACAATTTTCAAATTAACCCAACATTTTAAACTTTTGTTTGGCCTTACAGTCAAGTTTATCCAACGGGTTTTCAGCCACCACACTTGGGACATTACAGGTTTTGATATTTTCCACTGCATGCTTTAGGTACACATTTTCTGGAAAAAATCATCTCGTTATAAATATTAATTATGCCCCAATTAATGCCCTACTATTTTTCGATGTGTCTATTTGGACAGCTTTTCCTAACAACCATTGCAGTTCTTCCAGTTGGGATTCTAGAACCGGACATCCTATGGAATCTTTGTACTGCTCGAAATATTTTTTCCAATCAGCGGAGTTTTTATTTTGAAGACCATTATATACATGTTGGCTGGCACTCTTAATTTTATTAGTCTCTAACCACAACACAATGTCATGCACTGTTTTTTCATCTACAAATAAATAGGTATATTATAACTGTTGACTTTTGAATAATTATTTGTTGAAATGGTTCTTTTGCAGACATTATACCTACATGATAAATAATCGTAAGCTTGTTGACTGAAATTGAAATAATTTGTTATTGCCCTTACCAGAGAAGTTTACATTATCGGCATTCGGATATTCAAGAGCAGCAAGTAGCCTTTTGGACATGTTCCAAATAGATCTGTAATAATTTAATTGGGATCTTTCTAGCGTTCTGTTTAGTTTTGTTTATTAAGCTTAAATTTATTAGGTTATGAMTWTATTGCACTAGTCAAAACAATGACATACTATAACCATGATACAATGAATACAARGTAGGATCTTGCGTCGATTTGCRTGACGTCAGTGGAAATCACTGCCTGGCGTGCTTTTTTCCTGTMATTTGATTTAATCAYATTTAGCAAATGTGATTAAATATAGCTTAGTTAGCCTTTGTCACATTTAATTATTTTTTTATAAATCCTCCTTATAATTACAAGATGCTTTGCAGCAGATTTTAGACTTGAAAATTAAAAGTAACGAAAATGTATTTATTTTGCAGACTACCACAGTTGCCAGTTGTGCAATAAAATATAGCGTTAGCTGAAAATGTATCCTTGCAGAAATAGTACATTACGATTCACGAGACGAAAGTTCAAACAATGACCCAATGTTACTTTGCTTGCTTTACTAAAACGCTGAAAATCAGAGATTTTGTAAAGAATTATTTAGGGTATTTTTCTTCCCAATAAGCCTAAATCATCTCAAACGCGATTTTCAAAGCATTCGGCTATGCAATGCTGCAAACCATATCCTCATATAACTTTCCATTTTTGAACTATTGCGTTTTGAATTCAGTGAAAATTTGTCTAGGTTACATGCATGTTAAATGGGATCAGCTGTTCACTTTACCAGTGGTAACCAGCGACGTCATGTGCGCGCGAAAATCAAGTTTTCGACCGATTAATAACCTACCTTGTATTCATTGCATCATGAACTATAACAGTAATCTTAGTATAGTATGTCAATGAGTCAAAACCGGAAAACTTTTTCATTCCATTGGTAGATAGCGCCTCGATAACCTTCACTAAAATTTAAAATTTAATAGTTCCAGCGCCATCTGGCGGATAAATTAGAAACTCCATTTAACGAGGATTAACTATTTTTGTGATAATCCTTGTATTTGGACGAAAAACTGTTTTTTAAACATAGTAAAAGTTCTCTTGTATCAAGAAGATATTTAGAAACTTGTGTTCAGTYTKCACTCATAACTGTATTCAAGATTACTATTTCGTAGTAAGCKTCAAAGAAAAAAAGTTGCGAAAYTTTCTCCTTCWRATTTCAGATRATCATGTTGGTTTTTTTCATAGAAAGTGGCCTAAACAAATGACAAATTTGAAAGCTTGAAATTTTCGCAGAATAAAAATTCTGCCTGGTCTTAATTTTGGAAAATAAATGGTCAAATTTGTTTCTTTATTAAGTCATATRAATTCATGGAATCTTCARACAGTGGAATTAATTGCGCCCACTGGCGGCTGAATCAAAAACTACACTTAACTAGTAACTTTGACATTTATTTCGTTTACACTCGGTCATGGTGATTGTTTACACGTCATTGGAAACGCGTATTTGCTTACGTTTCGCAGCGCCCCATCGGTAGTGAATTTGGTTACTACAAACGTAAATATAACCTATCAAAACTCTAGGATTTTACATATTTTCAGACAAGATTCGAGACTCGTCTGATATATTTAAGTTACTATTGCTCAATAATGGCTTCAATAGAGAGAATAAAAGTGATGGTGCTTGGAGATTCTGGAGTAGGAAAAACGTCATTTGTACATTTAGCTGCACACAATGAGCCCATTAAATCGCCAAGTTGGACTGTGGGGTGTACAGTGGAGGTGAAATTGCACGAATTTAAAGAAGGCACCAAAGATCAGAAGACGTATTTCGTGGAGTTTTGGGATGTGGGAGGCAGCAAAAATCACGAAAATTCCCGACCTGTATTTTACCACCCTTGCAATGGAGCTATTTTAGTCCACGATTTGACGAATCGCAATAGTGAAAAGAATTTGCAAAAGTGGTTGAAAGAACTGCTAATCCATGGCTCTTTTGTCGAATGTAGTAGTGGCTCAAGTGCAATTAAAGAACAGAAAGATGATGAGATGGATGCTGAAAATATGTTGGGAGCTAATAATTCCATGCCAATTTTAGTAGTGGGAACCAAGTTAGACCAGGTAGATGATAAAAGGCCTGCCATATCGAATACAAGTTTCCGTTATAAATATAATGCAGAGGAAATTTTGTTAGACTGTAGGCAGTCGAGATATTTGGGGGCTGGAACGTCTAACGCTGTAAAGCTTTGCAGATTTTTTGATAAAGTAATTGAAAATAAACAGGACAAGACACATTTATTTTCAGACAGATATGGAGGTGCTCCGAAGACCAACGTGTTTAGGCCAAAATTTTACTTGGCCCACCAAGATTAATAA